GCCATGTGTATGTGTGTGTTTGGTAAAGGGAAGGACCGGAGGAGTCTATAGATACATATATCTGCTCGGATTTTGTTTGCCTGACTTTGTTGCCACTTGCCAACAATGGCAACCTGTCTGTCTGTGTCCATGCCATACCATGCCTTTGGCTTTGCCTATTTGCCTGAATGCCCACTATCCTCATCTCCATCAGCACCATGAGCTCCTGCTCCTGCTCCATCTCCATCTCCAGTTTGAGCTTTAAGCCCCTAACCCTAACCCCTTTTTGCGTTTTTGATCTATGCCACACAAAAGTTTCCAGGCGCCACAAACTTTTGCCATCCCTGTGCCACAATGCCCCCCCTCCCCCGCTCCACCAGAGTTGTCATGGAAATTTTAAAAGGAGATATTCAATTTGGTTTTGCTCCTCTCATAATACTTGCTAAGCAGTTTGAAGTTTTTTCGGGGGAGAACCCACTTTAAACCGCCGCAAATTGACGTCGGAATGCCGATGTTTCGACTAATTTGTGTGCCACTTTGGAGCCCACACAATAAGTCGAGCACTTACCTACCTATCAAAGTGAGCAGCTTATTAACAATGTTTCAAGTGGAAATATTAACAGGGAAAACCAATTCCAGGGAAGGGTTAGACATGTACAACACTTGCCACTTACCACTTGCCGCCTGCCCCCTGCCCCACAAGTATTGCGTATTTATTTTGGAAACTGAATTTACGAGCATTAGGGAGACAGAGTCTTACGGTTAGGTGAGCTAAGCCCCTGAGTAAAAATTCAAACAATATGGCAAAAAGCTCATCAAGCGCATCATCAGGTCTTAGCCTGGCCCAAAGCTGACAGCATCTTTGGTCGAAAGGGCAAGAGCAGCAGCAGCAGCAGCAGCAGCAGCAGTTGTGGCATCGCTGGAGGAGTGCTGTGCCGAAAAGGTACTGAAATTTACAATTTAAAATGCATGCATAATGAATGCTGTTTGCAGCCAAAAGACTTTCGAGCCTGGAGAGCATCAGGAGAAGCGTGAACCCATGACCATGACCCCCACAGCGATGGCTGCCTTTTGGCACAGCACAACAAAAATACAGTGTATAACAACCAGAAGCAGAAGCAGAAACAGAAGCAGAACTGGACTCCGGACTGCAGTTAGAAAAATCCTTAATCTGTGTGAAATTTTCCAGGACAGAGGCAAAATACTGAGAGGAGGTGCAGTAGGGGGCAATTCTCGACCATGTCTGAAAGCTGGTTAGATGCTGCTTTTGCCTTTGGCCTTTGCTTTGTTTTTTGGCTTATTTTGCATTAGAAAAGCACCAACACACAGACACAAAGACAGACATATTGAGGAGCCCCAGAGCAGAACAACACCCTGCAGGGGGCTATACGCGTGCATATTTTCTCGACTTTGTTTACCCACTGCTCTCGTCCACTGCCTGCCACACGGTAGGTAAAGAGGGGGGAAGGATAAGAGATACGCTTGAAAAATTTGTTGCATAATTTCGTTAGGCGAAAATATGCTTTGGTCCTTGAGGAACACACGAGAACAACAAGCAAATCGATGACAGGACATATAACCCAAAAACAAGTGCAACGTACTCGATGCTCTACGCTCTACGGATACCTCCCCCTTTAAGCTTGCTGCCCTTCCTCCACACTGTGCTTTTTGTTTGCGAAAGGTATATCAAAGAGCAGGTTGAAAAGTGTACAGTAGTTTTGCTTGTATCGCGCGAGGAAGCGAAATGGAATCTCCTTTGTCGTTCCTCCTCACCTTCTCACAAATATACCTTCTATTTGCGGACTAAGTCGTCCCCAAACAGAACAGACTGCTTGCCCCTTATTCCCCATCCTCATCTCCATCTTCAATTGAGCTCAAATTTTGCGTTTTCTAATTTAATTAGGCGCGTGCCGCACAGCTCCAAGCTGTTTGCAATCAGTCGTCCCCAAACACACACGGATATGAGTAGAAGGACACGGAGAGGGAATATTTACATGTGAGAAACATTTTCATTACGTGCTCTGTTCTCCTTTTGCTCCACGGTGCTGCCCCACGCTGCTGTCCTGGCAACGAGCAACGAACGCGAGCTGATGACAATTTTTCCATATTTTCTGGCTCCTTCTTCCCCCGATTGCCCCATGCTTTTCCACAGCTACAGTTTCCCTTTAATTGTGCGGTGCACGTGTGTGTGTGCTTGTGGCAGAGCGCTCTATCGATTCCCTGTTACCTGGACCCGGGGATTGATTAGGTTTTTGGCTTTCATTATTTTAGTGTGCCATTAAAAGGTGCACACCCAACTTTTGGCCACTCTTTCTATCCTCTATCTCCCGCTCGAACTTTACGAGCTGCGGGTCCCGGAATGTGTGGGACTGTGATTTTTCCATTTTCATTAGCCGAGGCAGTCTGCTGTTCAAACGATACGGCCCCGGCATTAGCCGAAAAGCCCATTAAACACATTCCAAAATTGAAAAGTCATGTTGGGAAGTTCTTCCACTCGCACTTAAATCTATCTTTCTCTCATACTCATGCTCAAATGTTTGCATGAATTTGTATCTGTGTTTTTGCCATTAGCTGAAAGCTCTTATCAGTCTGAAAACTTTCAGTTTGATTACTCAAGAATTTCTCTGGTCAATGAGTGGCCCATAAAGCCTCATAGCTGTCCAAAGTGCAAAGGATTGCGCCGCTTCCCCACCCCTACAGATCTTATCGTTATCCTTACAGACACTGACACACACACACACACACATAATAAATATCCTGCCTACGGAGGCAGCCTGTGCTGTGCTCTCTGAAGCACTTATTCCTCATATGAGAAAGTCCTTGCCGCCATCATAATGTCCTGGCCATTATCCTGCATATAAAGTTGTTCATTTCCTTGTTGTTTTTTGGCCATTTCTGCTTTGATTTGACCATCTCCTGCTGCCTGCAGCCTGCCGCCTGCTGCCTGCTCCCCCGCAATGTCCTGCGACGTCCTGCTGTTTGGTTGCCATTGTATAGCATACATAATAAATTTTATGAAACGTAAATTTTTATTGAAACCAATTTTTGTCGCTGCCATAAAAGTCAGAGAACAAGGAGGAAGAATATGTCTTCGAATCCGAATCCGAATCCGTATCCGAATGAATCGACGAGCGAGCGAATGTTTTATTTATGCCTTGTTCAATTTGGAAATTAGTTTCACATTAACAATGTTTCGAGGGCGCATTAGAAAGGCAAAGAGGAAATACTACATGCAAAATGCTCCATAGAATAAACAACAAATATTGCGATAGTTCTCTCTGGAATACCATTTGAAATAGTTTGGAATTAGCTAAACAACAAATACGACACAGATGGAGACGGAGATGGCGAGAGGGAGGGTGGGGAAACACAAATAGAATGGCATTTGTTTGATCTGCAAATGAAATGAAACCAAAATGACAGCTGACACACAAAGCCTTTAGAGGGACGGGCTGCCGAGGCAGCGGCAGCTGCTGATCTGTGATAGATAAATAAAAGTATTTTCTGGCACAAAAACTATCGCAGAATCATTTGTTTTTCCATGCGAAAATGTTTTACATGAAAAAACATCAACCCAAAAACAAAAACTAATCGAAATGAAATGAAATGTCAATGGGTGTGCCAGCAACAGCAGTAGCAGCAGGAGCAGCAGTCAATGCTGCGTATACTTAATGTCAAAAGCAAACTTGGCCTTAAATTTATCTATTATTTAGCACAGCAAAGATTGCTTTTATTAATGTTGTTCCTCTTTGCATGAGTAGCCATGGAAAATCTTTAATGAAAATCTTTTTTTTAATTATTGCAATAAATATTGCAGAAGGGAGGAGACATAATATGGATAAGTGTCTTTCTCGCGTTATACCCTTTCCAAGGGTTCCTTTCCAAGACTACTACTTACAGACATTGTAAATCAGATACAAATAATGCAAACAATCATTATAAATTCTAATAGCAAAATTACAAACATTACTCCACTAACTAGCCATAAAAAAATAAGGATTTTTCAATATATCTAACAAGGAAAAGCCTGTATATTTTACTGATTAAAATATCAGATATATCTGCCACGGAAACAATCGTTCGAATAGGATATCTCAAGTTTCAGCTCATAGGCCTACCTTTTCCATTGATATTTCCATCGCTTATTTATACGTAAAAATATTTATTCAATCAATTGTTGCTGCCGTTGCCGTTGCTGCTGCTGCTGCCGCGCTGCTGTTGCTGGTGGCTCATTAAAAATTCAGGCCAGCCTTTAAAATACTTGCAATACTTAATGAAATAATGAATTTATATATGAATTTATATGGTGAATGGTTTAAGCGGCTTGCTGGTCTTGTAATTATATTTCAATTATATAATAGGTTATGCCATAAGCCGTTCGTGTCGTTTGAGAGGGGGATCTGTCTGTGCCGCTGACCCAGATCACCTTCAAAAGACTTGACGAGTCATAACCGGTGGAGACAGGGACAGTGACGCGGGACGGGGGACGGGAGACGGGGAAGATTGAGCAAGCAAACTCATCAGCTTACGGCTCATTAGCACGTTCCTCCTTGCAGCAGGAAGCAGCAGGAAGAGCAGGGGGATGGAACAGCCAGACAACTTGATTGAACTTCAATGAGCTGCTTCTACGCTGCTGCTCCTCTCTACTCGGCTTGGATGCTCCTCCATAGCTCAAGATTAATGCTAATGTGACAACTTAATCGAAAGCCATTTACAAGTCATGTCAAGTGGAGCAATCTCTCTGCCCCTCATCTCTGGCACGTTATGACGATGCCCTTCAGTAGGCTGCTGCAGAGAGATGCTATGCCCTCTCCTCCCACTAGCGATGGCAACGACAAATCCATAAAAAAGCACGTTAAATATTTGCATTAATTCCGGGGGGTGGTCGCAGTACCCAGGAACCCAGTAGCCCAGGACCCCAGGACCCCAGGACCCCACTGATAAGTCAGTTGCCTGGCAAACAGGAGACTGGCAAACAGGAAGCACGAGACAGAAGACACTTCTGTTCTGTTGACACTTACCCGGCAAACATGATGCGAATGCGATGCTGATAAAGAGCAATAGTTGTGCCCGTGCCGCCATCCTGGCGCTCCTCCTCCTCCTTCTGCTGTTGTTGGGGAGCTGTTTGTCCTGTTTCTGTTTCTGTCCCTGTCCTTGCAGGCTGCTCATTTTCTCGTTTCCCGTTTATCGGTCGTCGTTTTTCTCCTTATCGCCCAAATGCGTTACTTTGTCAACGAGAAAAGTGCCTCGTTTCAGGACGTTAAGATGGTTGCCAGACACCGACAAAGACCCGCAACGCAACGTTTTATTGCACGACTCACTTGCCCAAGAGTCACTATTTTTTGCTGGATTCACGTCTCAATTTGGTTTATGAGAATTGTGAGGGGGTGGCGCGGGGGTCCGCCTATAAGTCTCACATATGTTTATGGCTGCAGGCGCCGATCTTGCTGTTCATAAACAATAAAAAATATAGCAGAACAAAGTCTCGAACTGTCATGACAGACTGTCAAACAAACGACAGAGGGGGCACTCTCGTGTCTCGTAGTTTGCTTCGTTTTGTTTTTGATATTGTTTTCACTTTTCGCGCGGGTGCTTTTGTTTTTCTTTGCTTCTTTTAATCAAAAATTTACACAATCAAAAATGGGAGTCGAAAACTGAAAGCACAATGAAAATTTTCAATCAAAAGTTTTTACTCTTTTCACTCTTTTTTTTTGGTGTCTGTATCGGCTTTTCTTCTCGCGTTTTTGTTGCTCTTTAGCGCTCGTTAGCTTTGGCTTTTCTTTCCTTTATTTTCCAGCCGTTTTTGTTTTGTTTTTTGCTCAATTTTTAATGCAATTTCCACGCTTAACTGCACTTTTTGCCATTTCTCTTGTTATTCCATTTTTGCGTTGCTTTTTCTGTTTTCTGTTGCCGTTTTTTTGCATTGCATTTATTTACACGGGCGAAACGACCGGACGGACAGAGACAAAATATGTACACAATTTTCTAGTGTTCTGTCTCTCTCTCTCCCTATATCTCTCTATTGCCGTCCCTGTCTCCGTGTCTGTCTGCACACAGATTCAAATTACTTTTGTTGCTATTCCGTTTATTGTTATAGGTTCTGTTGCCGTTCCAAATCAGAATCGGGATCCTTGTTTTACTGAGGGCCTCTACTGCGACATGGTCTTGACATCTCCTTTCTCACATTCTCTCCTTCGAAAAGTGTATCTGCAATGAGAGAAGAAAGATAAATTCGGATGAGTATTCGTATGGGGACTTATGTTAAGGTTATGTTATTAAAAGTCGGAGGCTTCTCATTTGGCAATTCCTTTGAAGCCTCTTTGGTGGTATTTTCATAATTTATTAGGAACATTTCGGAGAGGCCGCTGCCTCTCTTCCACTGATCCGCCGGCATTATTGCCAGCCGGATAATGCGTCAACTACGCATGGAACCACCCAGCAGCCCAACCACCCAACTTGCCACACACCATCACCATGCCTTGCCATCCTGGTTGCTGCCTCAGCTGAGTGACGTGTGTCTAGGACCACCCGTCCAATGTTGAGGCTTTTGTTCAGCCTTTGCTGCAGCTATTATTATGCTTTATTTTCCGCTTGACACCTTTGGGCTGCGTTGCGCATTTCCTTTTTGCAGTCACTGTGTGCCCCTTCCGCCGTGTGTGTGGGGTGCTCGTCCACGTGGCATTTATGCGCGACGCGACTTTTTCCCCATTCGCATAAAGCAGTTCAGTTTTTTCTCGTATTGCCCCCGGACCCGGACCCTGGCCAAAGCCAAAGCCAAAGCCAAAGAGGCTGCTGCTGCTGCTGCCCCACGGGCTAGGGGTTACGGGCGGACTGCAGCAGGGTGGAGTGCGGTCTGGAGATACGAGTACCAGTACGAGTAGGTGTGCAGCAGTGCAGAGAGAACTTGGGGTTTGAGTTTGGGTTAGGCGAAGGGTTGTGGGGGCACACACTTTCTTATCAACATGCATGTCGACGGTCGACGGTCGACGTGAGGCAGAGACGTCATGTCGTCGTCTGAATTGAAATTTATTATTCTGCTTTGTCGTGCGTGTGTGTGTGGGTGGAGGGAGGAGGCTCCACCCGTACCCCTACAGAAACTACCCCTGGTGTACCGTTTTGTGAGTGCCTGGCACTTTTGTGAGTCTGCCCCTCGTCTCCTCTTTGTGTTTTCTTTCTGCCTCTCTGCTTTTTTCAAGCATTTAATATTTTTTCTTGGTCTTCTAACCATTTTCCTCGCTCAACCTCCTGCCAGTAACTTTTCTTCTTGCTTTTACTTTTGTTAATTGCTTTTCATCTGGGGGAAGGGGAGAAAGACCGTCTGGGGGCCAGGCCCCCTTTGATGTGCGACGGACGACCTTTCATTGAGTTCTCGTGTTGTGTGTTGGTGCCTCTCGCACTTAGGGATATTGTTCACATGTCTCAATTATCCTTTTGATTTTGTACTCATGAAGGAACACAGAGAGAGAGAGAGAGAGAGGCTGATGCCCCTTTTGGCCTTTCGAAGCTGTGCGCTTTTGTTGGTCGAATTTCAAAGCCAAAAGTTGGTTAAGAAAGCGGGGGACTAGGGACTTTTTATTGCTTTTTTGTGCAGGTTATTAAAAAAAACGTTTGAAATTGAGAACTATTTGAGTAACACTCTCTAAGATTTATTCTTGATTTTATTTCCGCTCAACTTTAGGGGAATTAGAGAATAAATCCTTTCACCTTGTACTAATTTTAAGAAAATGGAACTTCTTTCTCTTTCGGCATTCCTCCTGCCCGCAAATGTTGGCCATACAAATTGCATAATTCTCACATTTCTAAATGTAGTATGTATCTAAATATGTGTAAGGATAATGGGTTTACTAATTCGCCTTTGGGGTCCCAGGATAGAGCATAGGCACATTCATGTGTCCAGCGAGTTCCAGGTCTTTTCTTGCGGAGAAAAGAAAACTTAGGGGAAAAAATTGTGTTTAGTTTATTTTCTTGTTTCTGCTGACATTTGCCGTTTTTGCCGCCCAGCACGTTCCAAAGTGGCAGAGGAAAAAAAAGAGGGGGATGGGCGAAAAAGGAAAAAGCTGAGCTGGAAATTATGCAAAGATTATGTGCACAGCTTGAGGGGCATTGAGAGGAGCAGGAAGCTCCAAGAAGGAGCCAGGCGACGACTCCGGGACAAGTTAACTTGTCGCCGTGGTCACGGATTGCCAGGATCTGGGACTGAGCCGAGCTGAGGTGAGGTCCAGGTCCGGAGAGAGCCTGCTTCCCAGAACCCAACTTAAGTCGAGTGACATGTAAATCTAGCCCCAGGTTGCGGCTACGGCAGCTGCTGCTGCTCCTGAAAGAGTTGCAGGCAAAAAACAGGCACCGAGATGAGGATGATAATGCGGTCGTTCCAGAGACCAGAACCAGAACCAGAGCCCATACCCACGCCTGCCCACGACAGTATCCTGGTTGCTGGCCGCCCAGGAGCCACATTTTCCTTTCATGAAAATCAGTTAAATGAGTTTGTTTACATGTTACACCGCCTCCGCGGCTTGGGTTTTTCCAACCAAAGGGCGACGAAACGAAATAAAAAACGAAAATACTTTAAATGTATGCAAGGAAAAGCCACAAGGAAGCGTCGCGACATTGTCTGGACGCCGTTTTTCTGAGGAAGAGAATGTAGCGTACCGTACCGGGGAGAATTCCCCATACAATTTACTTTGGTAACTCGATATACATACGAGCAGGAGTCGCGGAAGAGAGAGAGAGAGAGTCTGAAGCAGAAGCAGAGGCCTAAAAGTATGCAGCATATAATTTGCGTTTGTTTTGCCACTGCCACAGAGCCCCGCCATTTGCTTGATGTGTAATTTGCATGTAAACATGTGTTTGTGTGCGCGCGCCATACACTTAAAGAAAAAGTCTCTGCACCCACCACCTCCTGTACCACCTCCCCGGCGCCGTCCTTCGACCCACCACCACACATCAAATGATTTTGTTTAACATATTTTGTTATTAAGTGTGGAAATGTGCATATTTCGCTCCGCGGGACACACTCCGCTTTCAGCCCCACTCATGTGGCAGCCCCTCCCCCCGTCCACATTTACCATTCGTGCCTGCAGTAAATTTCCGTTTGCCATCTTTCAGAGCGAGTCAGGGACCGTGGCAGGCAGGCGTACTCGTACTTCACTTGAACTTTGTGTAGCGTGAACTTCTTCTTAAATTATTGGCCTACGACTAGAAAAACTTCCTTTATTTCTGGCAGCAGAAGCACAAGCAGCAGGGGGTGGGGGGAGGGAGGCTTGAAATTATGTTTCGTTAAGTTCTTAACTGAGTTTTGCGGCCTGTGCACTGCCGTCTGCTGTCTGCCACAACAATTGACAGTTGGATGGGATCCTTCGATGAAGTTTTCCCAATTAGTCATTGGCTTTTCCTTCGACTTTCTTTTGGAGTGCACGTCACGTCACTAGTGGCGATGTATACCAATTTGTTTGCTCTCTTACCCTAACCCTTCCTGCTTTTCCACAACTTAAGCAGATGGAAAATGGAAGAGGGTAGTGGGACAAGCTGCCACACACACACACACAGTGAGGGACCATCTTTTAAGGGATAAGGAGACCACAGAAAAGAACAAAAAGAAATACCATTCTCACAGTTGATAGATAAATAGACACGGACGGAAGGACGGACATTCACTTGCGCAGGGCCATAACAATTTCTTTGGCCAGAAGCAAGACGTGGCCGCACTTCCTAATGCCACGCTTTGATGCAACCCAATCAACGTTGCCCCTACCAACAGTTACTGTTGTTGTAAGCTGCAGGAAAGACGGTTGGCCCCAGCATTTCTTTACTTTCATGGCTTATGGCTTGTAATGGTAAATGTTCTTAAGCCGCTGCCAGGGCTCTTCCTATTGCTATTTGCTATTGCCATATAGCTTTGTAAATACAACAGTGCTAAATGCTGCCCCATGCCATGCCCCATATAAAAACTGCAATTGAAACTCCCATTTCCACTCTTCCAATAGGAGCGAACTGTGCAGTTAAGTCCGTTTCAGCGCTTCCGAACAAAAAGGCGTTGTATTCATTTCTTAGTTAAAACTACACCGAAGATGGATGGGCTTTCAGAGAGCGGTATTCGAGCATGGCTGGATGGATGCCAAACCCCATTTGAGATCTGTGAATGGGAGGAATGAGGGGAGCTTCTGGAGTTTTATTTATTGAACTGTGAATAAACACAGTTTTCTGAAGCACCTGCTTCTTTCGAGGGCTTCCCTATATCCCATTTAGATCGATACCTGATATCGTGTTGATTTTGCAGTTTACTGCATTGAGTATTGACTGTAATTATGTCTCAGTGTGTGTGTGTGTGTATGTGTGTGTGGGTGCAGCTGTAACCTAATTCTGTGGCTGGCTTAAATGGTCTTACAGTCTATTGACTTGCTGCTTCTGCTGCTGCTGCGCCTCCTCCAAAGCCAACTCTCATCTCATTATGGGCCCAAAAGCAAAAGGAAAAAAAACCGATTTTCCTTCTTTCTCTGGGTATTCCACCTAGATATCTCTTACTCTCCCTCTCTGTCTATGCCACTGGCTGTGCCTCATTCGCTGTGAAAGGCGCAGCTGCTTTCATTAGAGGAGCAGCAGGAGCAGGAGCAGGAGTAAAGGCTGGAGCTGGAGCTGGAGGATGAATCGCTCACAAAAGGCTCTTCAGCTTTATCGCTGTAATCAATTGTCTGCATTTGAATAGTTGACAACCGATTTATGGACCATTGAGTGAGCAGCAGCAAGAACGTCGATGACTGAAAGCGAAGAACAGGGGAGAGGGAGCGGGAAAGAAGGCTAGAGGGAGACTGGGAG